GCTTGGAAATCTACATGGGAAAACATATTAATCTGGGCCCTATTAATTTGAGACTATTGACTGTGGACAAAAGTTTATCTTTGCACAGTCAATTAAAATGGTATTTTTTTAGTAAATTAAGAGCATAAACAATATTTCTAGGGGCGGTATATTTAGTCTACCTAAAACAATACTTTTCAGGCACTTTAGGAATATCCATTTAGAAGTAACAAATGCATGGGATAATTATCATCAGTTTTATGTATTTGTTAAAGAAACATCTACAGGATCTTTACTGGTGACCTTTTGTAAGACATTAGCTTGAGGCATTACATATGTACTTGAAAATAATAAAGTTGCATTACTTTATGGAAAAAAAAGAAATCTCCTCCATAATTCAGATTTCTATACTTCATACTTGCCTCCCTCCCAAATTGATAGTCAACTGTGTACTGCAGCAGGATGTGGCGTGTAGAAGCAATAAAGAGAGGGCAAGTGTCAGGGATAGAAGGGAAACGTCCCGGACGCAGATGATGTCGGTGGAGAAAGCTGGAGAGGTAGAAGTTGGGTTGCAAAGTAACCTAGAAGGAAATATAGTGGGTCCTCCTTCCTCATGGCTGCTGCCACCCTGAGAGCCACAAAGGCTTGTCCAGGACAGGAAAGGGCCTGAGTCTGTGAGGGCCCAAATCCTCAGGACCACTTCTGCTTTTTCTGTCCCAGACCCAAATCAGACCACTCTCAATCTGATGGGGTGGGGAAAGGAGACGATGGGCTGAGGGGCCCCGACAGTCAACACTAGTGAACAGTCTATACTGTGTGCAGAGCCCCGTTCTGGGCGCTGTCTTTAGGGAATGAGGGTAAAGTGAATGTAGTCCTTGAAATTCACCTGAGTAGCAGAGGTCGGAAACCTTCACAGGCAGGGTGTGGTGACCAGTGGAGACGGAGAGGTGGGTGGGCAGTGCATATTCCTCCAGGGCTTCTCCGTGGAAGAGAGGAGGACTCCGGCTCCTACAACCTATGCCAGAATCTCAGAATAACGGCCGGAAGTCAGTTCTCACTCAAGCCACATTGTGGCCTCTTTATTATAACTCTGAAAGTGGCGGTGATGACAGTTACAGCAGTTGTGGTTGTAGAAGCATCAACTTCAACTCACTTTGTGCCATGACCGTGTCAAACTTTTATCTGCAGAGTCTCCTCTAATTCCACCTTAGGGCCCCTTTTCTTGATGGCCCTTGTGCCGGGAACACCTTTCCTCAGTTATTGACACGCCTGGAGTGCACACATCATTCGATCACTCCTTAAATGCCGCCTCTTCAGAAAAGCCCTCACAGACCACTTCCAATAAAAACACTCCTGGAACCTCTTTCTTTACTCTGTTATTTTTTTCCTTAAGAGTACTTATTCTCCCCCTTTTTAAAAAAATTATTTATTTGGTGGCTGGCTGGTATGGGGATCTATTCTCTTTGTTTTTATTCATAAATACCACCTCAAGTTTAGAGAGAGAGAGAACTCACTAGATAGGTAGGTAGGTAGATAGCTGTAATATATAAAATATACATATATATATAATTCAAATGCATATATTATTTATTTATACTTTTGTCTGTCTAACTCTTCCAGAATAAATTCTGTGAAGACAGGGATTCTATTTCTTTTGTTTACTTTATCCCGAGCACCTAAAACAATGTCTGACACACATTAGGCAATTAATATTTGTTGGATAACTGAAAAAAATCCTCACAACAGTCCAGTAAAATGGAGACTATTTTTATCTCAATTTACAGATGAAATAGCCAAGACTCAGAAAGGTTAAATGATGTGTTCAAAGTTTCAAAGGTAGTAAGCCTCAGATGCAGGACTCAAACCTAGGCCAGTCTGGCTCCAGGGCAAGCCCAGTAACTACCATGCCATACTTATCTGCAACTGCAGGATCAGAAAACCTGTGGGCATGGAGGGAGCCTGACCAGCCCAATGGCTTAGTGAACAGGAGGCTTCCATTACTTGGACAATGAGCATTTGAGCCATAGGGCCCATGTGATTAGAACCAGAGAAAGAGAGAACAAATGATCTTAAAGATGTAGTAGAGGGCTAAGAAAAAAGATACAAGGACATTCAGCAACCTTCTAGAAGATCTTAGCAAAAGAGGAGAGAATCTTACTATTGGATGTAATGTTGGAAGTTAAGGCCAACTTCTGACCTAGGTAGAAATACTTTTCATGGCATTTCCTTTATATCTGCAGAATAGGAAATATGAACACACAGATGGACTTAGCAATTTTAACTTTATTTTATTTATTTATCGGAGGTGTGGGGACTGGCCGGTGTGGGGGACCCTTGGTGTCACAAGGCCAGGCTCTATCCAACTGAGTTAACTGGCCAGCCCAGTTTTAACTTGAATTCTAACCTTGCTCTTAAGGATTTTATGATTTACATTAAACACAAATATTTGTAATGTATATGACAAGGAGTTCCTACAAATCGATAAGAAAAATAAAACAGTGGAAAATTGGGCAAATGATAGAATTGACAAATCAATTTTTTTTTTAAAAGATGACAATTCTCAAAAAGAAAAATAAAATATAGAAAGAAGGTAAACAAGAAAAAATGCTCACATAGACAATAAAGAAATGCAATTAAAACAATAAGATACCAAATTTCACCAATTATAATGGTAAAAATGTAAAAGATCAAGGTCATCTTGTGTAATCCAAGGTGTGGAGAGTGACCATTTTTGCATCTTGTTGCTGGGATGTAGATAGGTAAAGCCCTTTGAAAGCAATTAGCAGAATCTTTTAATAGTTTAAATTAGTGTACCCTACGATTCAGCAACAGGAATCAATTCTACTGAAATAGAACTTCAAGGGCCTAAAAATACCTATGTGCAAGGATGTCACTGTAGCAATGCTTCTAATGGTTAAAAAAATAAATAGAAAATATCCTATAAATCCATCAGCAGCAGGAATGATTGAATAGCCCATGGTCAATACAGCAAATGGAATGCCTTGCAGCCACTGATTAATTTTATCAGTGGCTGAAAGGCTTTATGTACATGATAGGGTGATAAATGAAAGGAGAGTTGAATGATTGTATGAAAATTAAAATATATCTCCTTTTAGATATCTATTTGTAAAAACACAGAAAAAAGACTGGAAGGATGTGGAGCACATTGTTAAGGGCAGTAACTTCAGCAGTAGAGAGTCTAAGTTTGGAGGGAAGGAAACTGGAACTCTCAGTTTTGATTTCATGCATTTTTAATAGAAAAGAAAAATCCAGTCTATTAAAGAAATCGACTGTCATTTATCCTAGCTGGGAAGGGAACATTTCTATTTTTAAATATTGAAGAAGGATTGCATCGGTACCAGGATGGATGTTTTCAGATATAGTCATATCTTAAAAAGCATGCCCAACCAAGATGCAATTAAATAAATGCCAAACGATCCTAGCTGGGAAGGGAACATTTCTATTTTTAAATATTGAAGAAGGATTGCATCGGTACCAAGATGGATGTTTTCAGATATAGTCATATCTTAAAAAGCATGCCCAACCAAGATGCAATTAAATAAATGCCAAACGGTAAAGAGAGAAAATGTATGTAGCATGCATAACTGAAAAAATATATAAATGATTGATATTTATTAGCTGCTTCAAATCCTTTGTGGAAGGAGGTGGAATATAATTTACATGTAAAACACGTGTAAAGTTGATACAGTCAAAGCACTTACTGAGATGTCAGAGATGGTGAATGGAAGAGACAAATACATTATTTTATAATAAAGAAATACAATGTTATCATAAGGAAAAACATATTTCTACTCTCACTGAGAAGAGCTGCACATTAATCCACAAATAAAACTACTAATAATGAAATCAGGCTATTTATTGAGCACATACTATATACAAAGGTTCTTCGTAAGGTTTGTAGAAAAGTAGAATTAAAAGATAATATGAATCTTTCCACAAACTTTTTGAAGTACCCTCATATATCAGACATTATGTTTTCTGTAGAGCACCTCACTTTAATCCTTACTCTTGCTACCTTACAAGGTAGATGGTATACACTTTTACAGATAAGAGAGGCACAGAGAGATTGGGTAACTTGCCCAAAGCCACACAGCAGAGGAGCCAGGATTCAAACTCAGGACTGATTCCAAAGCCCAAGATCTGATCTATTCTGCTAGTCAATCTCCTAAAATTAAAAGATCAAATTCAAAGGTGGTGGAGAAGTGTCCCTCACTAAAATGTACACTCACAGACAGAGCACCTGCTTTACTTTTCGGTTCAGCTGTCTGGGGTACCTCTAAGCTTCAGAAGTCTGCAGAACCCCACAAGGGCTTTGTTCTAATTTAGTCCTCAGACTGAAATTCTCTCTGGAGCAGAACCTGCTCCAGTCATTCTCAAACCCAAAGACCCACCTCCAGATTCTTGGTTAGAATATTCAGGAGGTCTTTGTGATGCCACACCTGCCTTGTTGCCGAGGCACCCACAGGGCCTGGGGCTGGGGGCTCCCCACGCCCTGACGCCCACTCTGGCCTCACTCCCCCTCCAGATTCTTGGTTAGAATATTCAGGAGGTCTTTGTGATGCCACACCTGCCTTGTTGCCCAGGCACCCACAGGGCCTGGGGCTGGGGGCTCCCCACGCCCTGACGCCCACTCTGGCCTCACTCCCGCTGCACTTCCCACCTGCCAAGCACCCGGTGGTGCTTGAGTCTTCATAACTCAGCCACCCAGTGCTCTTGACTTCCTCAGCGCCATCTCCACTCTCTGCCTTCCTCACCTCCGGCTTCTCCTGGTCCCTGACTGCTCAGTCCTCTCCCCCTCCCCTCCCCACCCTCCCCTCCCCCTTCCCCTCTTCATTTTCTTCCTACCAATTGAGCTGGGTCAGCTACATCCCGGGGTTACAATGGTGCTTGGGAGGAAAAGAGGGATGGTGACTCCAATGACTCCTCATGAGCAGAATCCAAACCCTAGACCTCACGGAAGGGCTAGAACTAGTAAGGAAAGGGCGAAGAGGAGACAAAAGAGGAAAGATATGGAGGAACTGAAAAAGGAAGTGGTCATGGTGAGGACATCCCAAACCGGGGCTGGCAAATCGCCCTCCAAAAACACTCCTCAGCCTTCCCCCAACTGCCTCTACCATCTTACCTTGAGAATTAGCCACTGTTTCTCCTCCTCTCCCCTGGGGTCACCGCCTTTCTCTCAATGACTACTGTCCCCTCAGGATGATCACAAGTTAACCTTGGAAGAGCTGAGCGCCAAGTATTCTGTGGATCTGACAAATGTGAGTGAGGCACTCCCTGAGGGGGGCAGAAGGTCTCCCACTCTGACTTCAAGGCCATCAGGACAAAAGTAGACATCAAGCCCCGCAACTTCAAGTCCAGTGTTCTGACCTCGTACCCTCCACCCAGCCAAGTTCCACGGGACCCCACTTGAAACAAGATGATAATGTAACTACCCCAAAGAGAATTCAGGACTGGATAGGAGAGTAAGCGTGTTTAGGGCGGTGCTACCCAAATAGCTCGTCCTCAGGACCCCTTTACACTGTTATAACTTATCAAGGACCCCAGAGGGCTTTGGTGTATGTAGGTTACATTATCTATATTTACCACACTAGAAATTAAAGTGAGAAATATAAAAAGTATTTTCCAATTCATTTTAAAATAACAAGAGTAAACCCATTATATGTCAGTATAAAGAATATTTTTTGACAAACTATATTTTCCAAAAGAAAAAAATTAGTGGCATCTTATATTTTTTGCAAACCTCTTTAATGTCTAGCTTTTTAACAGAAGACAGCTGGGTTCTCATAGCTTTTCTGTACTAAATCTGTTGCAATATCATGTGTCTTGTAGCATTGGGAAAATTCCACCATATACCCTTGAGGGAATGAGAGTAAAAAATGCAAACAATGATTTAGTACTATTGTGACAATGGTTTGACCCTGAGTACCCTCTGAAAGGGTCTTAGGACTCATTGGGTTTTTCAGGGGGAGGTTGGGGAGTAGTTGACCAGGACTGGTAGGTTCTACTATTGTTTTCATTTAGAGGAAAAAGTGCACAAACTAGAATGAGAATCTATGCATTCATATCTTTAGTTGGTGTTTTTTTCCTGTTTCTAAGTTGGAGAGTCAAAATATGGGGATCAATATATTATAAACATAATGTATTATTTCTCATTATTACATTGGCCTTGCACGTTATAATTATCTGTATATATTTATCTCCCCACTTGAGCTCCTTATGAGCAAAAACCCTTCTTATTCATGTTGGTATCTTCGGTACTTCTCAACAGCATCAGGCCCCAAGATAGAGTTCAAGTTCAAAAAGGTTTGTGAATCAATCCATAACAACAGCAACAACAATAAAACCCTCCTATGTAAGCAAATTAAATGACATCCCTCCTATAATGCAAAAGTTTAAGTTTCACCTTATCTAGGAAGAACTTCCAGACTGAACTTCAGCGAGCATCTTTGGTCTCTAGACCCATCTAGGGCTATAAATGGCAGGTTCTTCTTTGCTACAGCTACTTCTCTCTTCCCAGCTCTCTATCAATCCCTATTTCTTTCCCACACAGGGCCATAGCCTCAAAAGGGCAAAGGAAATCCTGCTTCGAGATGGACCCAACACACTTACCCCACCCCCCAGCACTCCAGAATGGATCAAATTCTGTAAACAAATGTTTAGTGGCTTCTCCCTCCTACTGTGGACTGGTGCCATTCTCTGCTTCGTGGCCTATGGCATCCAGGTGCATTCCAAGAAGGAGCCTACCAAAGATAATGTGAGTCTGTTCAACTAATACAGGCCAGCCTGGTCTCTCTTCAGCCCCTGATACTCTTCTGCTCAGCAGTCTAGCACTCTTGAAGTCCTCTGGCCCAAATCTCTAATACTCCCAGCACTTTCTAAGGGAGCCCTTGGTCCCTGTACTTTTATTTAGAAAGCTAATGGTTCAGCTCCCTGAGATGCATGATTTCCCCTAGAAACTTGCTCTCCTTTGATGATCTTCTCAACTGATCATCAAAGCACTTTGTAGTCCCTTTCTCTTCCACGCAATTTTGACCTCTTCATCTCCTTCCCCTCCACCTGCCTCACTATCCAACCCACCCCATGAATAGCCTTCCACGAGAGGACGATAACAGGCCTTCTCTGGCCAAGGACTTTGCTGACTACTCACCATACCTCAGGGTTCCTTCACCAGGAAGCCAAGCACGCTGGCCCTGTCTCACATTTTTCTTAGCCTCTTTGCCCTCCAATTCGGTTCTATGGTTTCTTCCACCTGGAGAAATGGCTGTTACCCTTGCAAGCTGATTTTCTGAGGATGAAGAGGAAGAAAAGGACCTACTGATAGCCCTCCAATTCGGTTCTATGGTTTCTTCCACCTGGAGAAATGGCTGTTACCCTTGCAAGCTTATTTTCTGAGGATGAAGAGGAAGAAAAGGACCTACTGATGCAAATATTTCCTTTCACCCCATGCCTTCAGTTGTAGTGGCTGCCATCAGGCAATCAGGGATCTCCAGCGCATCCGTGAAGTTGTTAGAACATTTTGATCCATTATGCAGGGAAGAGTAGACAAGAGAAGGAAAAATGCTGAGTGAGGGACAGTGGCAGCACTAATAATAAAGCCCATGAGGGGGACAGGAAAGACAGTGAAAATCCTGGCAGAATTTATTTATTTATTTTGGTGTCTGGCCGGTATGAGGATCTGAACCCTTGACCTTGGTGTTACCAGCACCATGCTCTAACAAGATGAGCCAACCAGCCAGGCCCCTGGCAGACTTCAAAGAGAGGGTTATGGTAAAAAGCAGGAAACAGTGGCATTGCCATGACCGGATCACTACCAAATATGGTTTTTCTATGGAGTGATTATGATTTGATCAGGGGAGTGGATTCCCCAGTTCCGTGTAAAGGACTCACATGTGGGTAAGAGAGAGAAATGAGACAACCATCAGTCAGTTTCACTTTTCTGTCTTAAAAACATAGGAAAACACGATCTATATTGATTTTTTAAAAACCCAGTTACCTATATTTTCATGTTGAACACTGAGCAGGTAAAATTTAAATAGACCCATACTTTGCTGTCTTAACTAGTTTTTAGTCAATGTTAACAAAATAGGTCGTCTAGGCCCAAACTACAAATGTATTTCCATTTTTTCTGACATTTAGTGGCCTCAATATCCGGACAGGAATTTTGTGGCTTGGCAAGTCCCAAGCAAAGCCTTTGGAAATAATTAAGTACCTCTCACTCTGCGTGATTCAAAACAAAAGAAAACCATATTCACATTTGTTGGTACATCAACAAATAGCAACTTTCCCTAAAATGACTACTTTAGTACCTCTTCTGAGCTATTGAATATCAAGCTCCTATGGCAGAATTGTCCCCTGTGGGACACCAAGTGTGATGGGCCAGTCCACCAGCCACCCAGCTCCAGCAGGACCTTGCTCTGGGAGGCTCCGAGTTAATTGCCTTAATTAGCTTGCTTTAAGGATAGAGATTCCAGCCTTCGCAAAGGACATTTCAGCTTGTAGATGGTTTGCAGAGATTGGTCCCTTTCGCTCTCTGAGATCAAAATGAAAGGAAGATTCTCTGTTCTGGCATTTCCAGATTTCCCCCTCCGTTTTTTTTATCTATCAAGATGCGATTTTTCTGTGACCAAGCTACTTGCTTAAGTAGGTCTTGCTATCACCTCCCAGGCCTTTCACTCATTCAACAAATATTTACTGATCATTCAGAAAATTAAGCTTTTTTTAACCTCTTACAGCCTTCAGTGTAAACAAGTTAAGGTTTTTTCCTCTGAACTGCTTAAGCATATTTTGAACGTAACTGAACAGTTTTTAACAGAATGGTTGTAACCACATCTTTCCCATCCTGCTTATGCGTAATAACTTCGTATAGCATACATTATACGAAGTTATACGAGAAGAAAGTGTTTTGGTAGTTTTGAACTAGCATCTTGGAGATTATCTGTTAGCTTTTGCTGCCTAAAGAATCACCCCAAAACTTAATGGCTTAAAACCACAAATGTATTACTTCCCACGTTCTGTGGCTGGGCTGTTTTGGTCTGGGCTGACCTCAGCTGGTGCTGGATGGTCTAAGATGACCTCATTCGCCCATCTGGGGCCTCAGCTGAGATGACTGGGACAGCAGGGGCCTTTCTTCTCATGATCTCTCTTCTTCATGAGGGAGGCTAACTCATGCTCATTGGTATGGTGGCAGCTGAGGGATTCCTAGCAACAACAGGGCAAGCCCAACATGAAAGCACTTTTTAAGCCCTTGCATGCATCACATTTTTTAATGTCCTATAGGCCAAAGCAAGCCACAGGGCCAAGCCTAGGTTTAGGGATAGAGAGATAGACCCCATCAAGTCACATTGCAAAGGGCCCTGCAGACCATGGCTGTAGGAACTTGCAATCTACTAAAGATTTCTTCAAGAATGATGTGGTGGGTGACACAGTAAGAAAGGTGAGTCAGAAGGAAGAAGACCAGGAACAAGAGGTTGTAGGCTAGGGGTGGGATGGGGAAGCAGAAAGTATTAGAAATGACCCTGCACTATCTTCCCATAGCAAGCTCTGGTAATTCGAGGAGGTGAGAAGATGCAGATTAATGCACAAGATGTGGTGTTGGGAGACCTGGTAGAAGTGAAGGGTGGAGACCGAATCCCTGCTGACCTCCGGCTTATCTCTGCACAAGGATGTAAGGTGAGGGGATGTGGAAAGCTATGGGAGGGGCCAAGCATGGTATTAAGACACCATAGGGACCTGGGGTCAGTTAGAGAAAGTATGATCTTATTATTCAGAACCTTGAAAAGTTACAAGTGCAAATTTGAGCATAGAGACAATAAGGTGCTGGTGTGTAAGTTTGTTTCTCTCTGTATGTCAGTGATGATGTTGGTGGTGACAGATAAAAATATGCTGTTTTTATAAATAAATCTGCCTTTTTCCTCATGCTCAGCTTGTGGCCCCTCCTCTCTCCATCCCAGGTGGATAATTCATCCTTAACTGGGGAGTCAGAACCCCAATCTCGTTCACCTGATTTCACCCATGAGAACCCTCTGGAGACCCGAAACATCTGCTTCTTCTCCACCAACTGTGTGGAAGGTGAATATTGCATTGTAAGCAGCATAGATTCAAAAGCAGAGATTGAAACAAAAAGATTTCAAGAACTGTCTCTCTTCTAAAGGTAGTGGAGTAGGTAAGAGTTGGTACAGTCTTGGTTTTCCAACACTCATGAGCTGAAAGACCTCTGGTGAAAGGTCAAAGCCACCATTTCCACATCTGCACAATGATGATACTAAAAGTCATCACCTCATGGATTTCTGTGTGGATTAAGTGAGATAATATATATAAAATGCTTAGGATAACGCCTAATACATTGTAAATGGCCTACTTCCACATCTGCACAATGATGATACTAAAAGTCATCACCTCATGGATTTCTGTGTGGATTAAATGAGATAATATATATAAAATGCTTAGGATAACGCCTAATACATTGTAAATGGCCTATAACAGCTATTATTCTAGCTAGAGAGTGGACTATGCTCTATGAGCTGAAAACAGCACAGAAGGGAGGAAAATTACTCAGCCCTCCTGGGTCATTCTTCACTTAAGCTTAGCCCTAATTTCTCTTAACTATTCCCTTCTCCAAGAGAGGATATTGGCATTGGGAATTTGAATTATCAGAGATGCCATTCAGACTTTGGCTTTATTCCTAGAATTTAAGACACCCTTGAACTGGGAGGCAGTGTCAGCCAATGACAACATGGGACTCAGTATCATTATGTCAACCTCTCCTTTGCCCTTTCCCCTAAAGGGGGCTGAAGACTCCGTGAAACATACTTGAAAATCATTATTCATGCTTAATAATAGATGTTTCAGTATCTAGAAATAGCTATTTTTTTTATTGAATGCCTAGTATGTGTCAAGTGCTATCGATCTTCTCTCTGATTCTCACAGTGCTATACAGCAGATGTTAACCCTATTTCACAAGAAAGACTAAGGTTCAAAGAAATTAAGTGCATGTCCAAGAGCACAACTCAATGGAAAGGCATTGCAAGGTTGGCCCATCTTCAAGGCCCGTGTTCTTGCCACAGACCCTGCTCTGCCTGGAAGATTGCTAATGACCTCTCTGGCAATCAAACTATGCAATTTGAAAATACCTTAAAGATTATGAGTAACTCTAAGACTGAATGGACAATGAGGAAGAGTCTACCTAGAAAATATTAAAATAAAGTTTTAAAAAATTGATTGTACAGAAAGATGTAAGTTAGAAAGCATTGTCCAAAAACACCAGACTTCTATTATTAAAGTTTAGGAAGAAATTTGCTCAGATTTGTCCTTCTACAATAGGTTTTTTGTCAGCTAAGTATATACTTCAGATAAAGAGATGGGGGACGTGGGTGGTGGCATTCATCTGGGAAACAAGGGTCTGTCTGGGTGGAGAAGGGTTTAATAGGAAACTCGCAGAAACCAAGATGTGGCCAAGAGGGTGGAGCTAGTTGGAAGGAGCTCTTGACTGTTAAGTTATTTCTGTACAATTTGCAAACTAGTAGCATTTACCCTAGACCAATTTGCCCTTTAACCTTATACCTAGACCAATTTGCAAACTAGTAGCACAACTTTAACCTTTATCCTTGACTCCCAACTCTCACCACTGTAAATCTAGACAGGGCTGTAGTACAAAGGTCTCTCTTAGGTTCTCAAGCATCTTCAAGGGAGCCTAAACTAGCTTTCTGGCAATATACAGAAGGTGTAGTGTATGAAGGGGCCAGTCTGGCCTGGGATATGGGATGCTTGGCCTTCTCAATCTTCCCCAAGTTGACATCAACCCGCCCTGTTTCTAGACATACTGGGATGAGTTATTAAATCCTGTCTCTCCAAGCATGAGAAAGCCATAGCAGGAAGAATAAAAATGAAAAACTAGATTAAACCATGGCACAGAATAGATACAGTGTCACTATACATTACTCACTCCCCCAACCCCATCAAAAATATGAAGCCCTTTCATCACCTCTCAATTATTTCAGTATCTGCTTTCCATAAGGCCCAATGGAACAGGCTCTGGCAACCAGCTGAAGCTCCTCTCTAGAGTGCCTCATACTGTGAGCCTTTCCAGAATTCCTCCTCCACATATACATTGAACTGTCTGCTATAGTAGGACCCTGCTCTCAGATTCATAGCTGAACATGACCTTAGAAAGAGAGACCACCAGCTGCTCTGTGCTACGATATTTATGGGAGCTATTAGATTAAAGTTACCCCTCCTAAGTCACATGTATGATTGCATATAGATCTTTTGGAGACCCCAAACTCATCTAAATGAAGAGAAGAAAGAAACTAATATTTGAGGGCCGGCCCGGTGGTGCACTGCTACAGTGCGCTGCTTGGGAAGTGCGGTGGCGCTCCCGCCGAGGGTTCGGATCCCACATACAGACCGGCCGCTCACTGGCTGAGCGAGGTGCAGGAGCAACACCGAGGGTTGCGATCCCGTTGCCGGTCCCAGTCTGGTACGGGAGTGACACTGAGTGTTGCGATCCATTGTCGGTCACGAAAAAAGACAAAAAAAAGGAAAAAAAAAAAAAAAGAAAAGAAACTAATATTTGAGCTCCTACTATGTGCCCAGTCCTCTTCTATGGTGCTTTTATACCATTTTAAAGATGAGGAAGCCCAAGTCTCAGAGAGCTCAAGTAACCTGCACCAGAGGAAAGAGCTAGCAAGCTGGAAAGTTGAACATCCAGCCCTGAGTCTTTCTGCTTCTAAAATAAGTGCTATATCTACAATATGTTGCTTTTCTGAGTGATTCTGACTCTGACTCTAGTGGTAGGAATTTCAGTCATTATGGTAAGGCAGGAATAATTGTTTTCAGCAAAGAACCTTATCATGCCCCTCATTTCAAGCCATGTAGGTGAGTGGCCTGCATCGTGTGTGCAAAGCCAACCATGATGTCCCAGCTGCCCTTCTGATCGGGGGCGGTGCTGGTGGAGAGAAGAGGAAGACCTTGATAAGCACAGAAGCCCATCTGTTATGGCCTGTGCTACCCAGCAGAGGTCAGACTGGCTCTAGCCAGCAGAGCAGGGAGGGGCTCAGGTTAGAGCAGGGTTTCTCTACTTACTGATATTTGAGGCCGGATAATTCTTTATGGTGGGGGGAGGGAAGGGCTGTCCTGTCCATTGCAGGAGGTTTAGCAGCCTTCCTGACCTCTACCCACTAGATGCCAGTAGCAGTCCCCTCCCACCCCAGTTGTGACAACCAAAAATGCCTCCATACATTGCCAAATGTCCCCTGGGGGGCAAATTGCCCCCAGTTGAGAATCACTGGGTTAGAGCATACAGGATGCTGGAACATAAGACTCTACCAGAAAGGTAACCACTATTCCTGGGGATTTAGAAACAATTCAGCTGCTGAGGGCAAAACAAGAAATAGAAAATATTTGGATTAAGTGTAATGGAGACATTCTTAACAATGAAGACAATCAGGCAATGAGAACTGGGTATCTCTGGAGAACTGTGAACCTCTTCAGAGATTTTTCTATCTTAGGAGCTTTTGTCAGGAACTGGGGGCAGAGACCAATGGGTATTTTTCTTCTTATATCACAATATCACATCGCCCTTTCCCTTTATCAACAGGAACAGCCCAGGGCATTGTGATTGCTACAGGAGACTCCACAATGATGGGGCGAATTGCCTCACTGACATCAGGCCTGGCAGTTCGCAAGACCCCCATCGCCACTGAGCTTGAACACTTCATCCACCTGATCACATCAGTGGCCATCTTTCTGGGTGTCACTTTTTGTGTGATCTCACTTATCTTAGGCTATGGCTGGCTGGAGGCTGTCATTTTTCTTATTGGCATCATTGTGGCCAATGTGCCTGAGGGGCTGCTGGCCACTGTCACTGTGAGTAGACAGGGTGGAGGGTGGCCTCAGGGCAGATAAATAACCCCAGGGAAATGAAATCACTAGTATCTCATTTGTTGTTGAACCTCAAGTGCTGAGTATTCCTGACCTGTGTATAGGAGTCAAAAATAATTCATCTCCCAATATTACACTGACTTCCTCAGCCCATATTTTCTGGTGCCTTTTCCTTCTCCTCGTTAGGAGAAGAAGCAAGTTGTAATGGAGAAAGCGTTGGATTATAAATCACCAGGGGTGGGTTCTAGTCCTGGTGGACTGACTGATGAACTAGGCCAAATCACTTAACATCTCCAGGCCTCAATCTATTCATCAGTTTATAGAGGAAAATTAATTTAGATTATAGAATCTTATTGGAAAGGACTTCAAAGTCCATATTAACTCAGCCTTTCAATCAATGCTGACTATCCTTTGTAAAATCCATGGGAGAGGATTAAGCCCACCCCTTACTGTCTCCGCTCATTTCATTGTCGGATTGCTCTAGTTAAATTCCATTGTGTGGAGCAGAAATATGACTCCCCATTTGGTCCTAGTTTACTTAGCCCTTTGGGTTTTTACAATAGCCATTATGCTCCCTCAAACTCTCCAGGTGGGAGGTGAAATAATCCCTTTTCCCTTAGCCATTCTTTCTATGACATGGTCTTCAGACCCCTTGTCTTACTGAATACCTGTTTGGGGTATGCTCTAGCTTATCAATACTCTTCTTAAAAGAGAAATGAGAGTAATTCTTGTGGTGTGTTTGGACTAGCATAAAAACATTGGGACTAGTGATATCCTGTAAATAGATTAAAGTCCAATGATTAGAATCTTGTACTGACTTGACCACAGCCTAAGAATTCGTTAGTTTTCAAAACAACTTTGCCACACACCTGACTTATGTTGAATTTATGATCAACAAAAACCTTCTGGTTTAAATGATTTCTCAAATCCTTTTCAAATACTGCACTATTCCTTCCTGATGTCTTCATTCTCTCCTCCCCATTCTTTTTTAAATTATTGGTACAATCCTCCCTTTACACATAGCGTATCATATCACCATAAAAGCTTAGCTATCTATGTGGTCCCTGGAAAGACTGGACTTGAGAATGAGGTGTAGCCTGAGCTTGAATGCAAAAGAGAGTGCTGAATAGAAAAGATAAAAGGATCCTGGGGGGAGAGGAGTATTCCAGGGAGAACGAAGAGGATCATTCTCTGTGAGACCCTAGTAAAGGAATACGCTCTTTTTTGAAACTCTTGCCATAAAGCAAAAAACCCAAACCACTTTTCTAACTTCCTTTACCACAGCCACAGATGGAATTTCTAAAGAGTAGGTGGGACTCAAAGAGAAATAAGTACAAAAAGTTAAAATAGCAATAAAAGCAATCAAATTTCCAAAATGCAGAGCCGTATGAGTAATCCAGCTCTTGTGTTATTCCTACCCTCTTGGTGGCTTTAGGTGTGCCTGACCCTGACAGCCAAGCGCATGGCGCAGAAGAACTGCCTGGTGAAGAACCTGGAGGCGGTGGAGACGCTGGGCTCCACGTCCACCATCTGCTCGGACAAGACGGGCACCCTCACCCAGAACCGCATGACCGTCGCCCACTTGTGGTTCGATGAGACCGTGTATGAGGCCGACACCAGCGAAGAACAGACTGGTGACTAGTGGTATTGGCGGACCAAGAGTGGAAGGATTTGGGGGATGGGATGAGTGATCTCAGAGAGAACGGTGAGTCCAGACGAAGAGAAGAGAGAAGGAAAGCGGAGTGGAAGGAAGGGAGGCGTGCAGGAAAGGACATGCGGCCTCTGTGAAGGACTGGGGCATGAAACAGGTCATGAAAACTCCCTGTTTAAACTCTCCTATTCCCACTCCCACTCACAATTCTTCCATTCTTTCTCCCTAGGGAAAACATTTTTCAAGGGCTCTGATACCTGGTTTATCCTGGCCCGAATCGCTGGCCTCTGCAACCGGGCTGACTTCAAGGCCAATCAGGAGACCCTGCCCATCCCTAAGGTGTCAGTCCTAAGGGGGAAGAGGGTACCTCAGTATCCAGGGTATAACCTGCCCGCTCCCAAAATATCTTTCCTGGCACTCAGTGGTTTCCCCCAGGCACCCCCCGCCCCCTTCTGCCTCTCTCCTTGTCGCCACAGGTAAGCCCCATGCCCAGGTGGCATGCTCCTGGGGCTTATCGTACACACCCCACCCTGGCAGCGGGAGACAACAGGCGATGCTTCTGAGACAGCGCTCCTCAAGTTCATTGAGCAGTCTTACAGCTCTGTGAAGGAGATGAGAGAGAAAAACCCCAAGGTGGCAGAGATTCCCTTTAATTCCACCAACAAGTACCAGGTACTGAACCGACAGAGGCAGGAGAAGAGTGGAGGGGTCGGGCTCATGGTTCAGGAAACAGCAGCTTTGCCTTTGCCTTCAACTTCACCTCTGAGCAGTAGCACAGCCCAGTAGAACCAACATCCCAGTTAAGAGGAAGGTGCAAATCAAGAGAAAATGACAAACAGGTGGAGAGAGGTGAAGCAGGAAATAGAGGAAGGGGAGTCTGGACCTAAGCGCAACTCCTGTGGAGAAAGCGGGTCATAAAATGCTCTCCAAATGTCTGTAGGTAGCAGAGGCTGGGTGGTGAGTCACGTTACAGTCGTGTGCAGCTCTTAGGAGGCATCTCCGTGTCTACTATAAGATTTGCCTCTGCAGAATAAGGTTGCATTTGCAATACTCTTTGTTTCATCAGCCATCAAATATTTCCTTTCACCCCATGCCTTCAGTTGTAGTGGCTGCCATCAGGCAATCAGGGATCTCCAGCGCATCCGTGAAGTTGTTAGAACATTTTGATCCATTATGCAGGGAAGAGTAGACAAGAGAAGGAAAAATGCTGAGTGAGGGACAGTGGCAGCACTAATAATAAAGCCCATGAGGGGGACAGGAAAGACAGTGAAAATCCTGGCAGAATTTATTTATTTATTTTGGTGTCTGGCCGGTATGAGGATCTGAACCCTTGACCTTGGTGTTACCAGCACCATGCTCTAACAAGATGAGCCAACCAGCCAGGCCCCTGGCAGACTTCAAAGAGAGGGTTATGGTAAAAAGCAGGAAACAGTGGCATTGCCATGACCGGATCACTACCAAATATGGTTTTTCTATGGGGTGATTATGATTTGATCAGGGGAGTGGATTCCCCAGTTCCGTGTAAAGGACTCACGTGTGGGTAAGAGAGAGAAATGAGACAACCATCAGTCAGTTTCACTTTTCTGTCTTAAAAACATAGGAAAACACAAAAAGCAGGAAACAGTGGCATTGCCATGACCGGATCACTACCAAATATGGTTTTTCTATGGAGTGATTATGATTTGATCAGGGGAGTGGATTCCCCAGTTCCGTGTAAAGGACTCACATGTGGGTAAGAGAGAGAAATGAGACAACCATCAGTCAGTTTCACTTTTCTGTCTTAAAAACATAGGAAAACATGATCTATATTGATTTTTTAAAAACCCAGTTACCTATATTTTCATGTTGAACACTGAGCAGGTAAAATTTAAATAGACCCATACTTTGCTGTCTTAACTAGTTTTTAGTCAATGTTAACAAAATAGGTCGTCTAGGCCCAAACTACAAATGTATTTCCATTTTTTCTGACATTTAGTGGCCTCAATATCCGGACAGGAATTTTGTGGCTTGGCAAGTCCCAAGCAAAGCCTTTGGAAATAATTAAGTACCTCTCACTCTGCGTGATTCAAAACAAAAGAAAACCATATTCACATTTGTTGGTACATCAACAAATAGCAACTTTCCCTAAAATGACTACTTTAGTACCTCTTCTGAGCTATTGAATATCAAGCTCCTATGGCAGAATTGTCCCCTGTGGGACACCAAGTGTGATGGGCCAGTCCACCAGCCACCCAGCTCCAGCAGGACCTTGCTCTGGGAGGCTCCGAGTTAATTGCCTTAATTAGCTTGCTTTAAGGATAGAGATTCCAGCCTTCGCAAAGGACATTTCAGCTTGTAGATGGTTTGCAGAGATTGGTCCCTTTCGCTCTCTGAGATCAAAATGAAAGGAAGATTCTCTGTTCTGGCATTTCCAGATTTCCCCCTCCGTTTTTTTTATCTATCAAGATGCGATTTTTCTGTGACCAAGCTACTTGCTTAAGTAGGTCTTGCTATCACCTCCCAGGCCTTTCACTCATTCAACAAATATTTACTGATCATTCAGAAAATTAAGCTTTTTTTAACCTCTTACAGCCTTCAGTGTAAACAAGTTAAGGTTTTTTCCTCTGAACTGCTTAAGCATATTTTGAACGTAACTGAACAGTTTTTAACAGAATGGTTGTAACCACATCTTTCCCATCCTGCTTATGCTTTGGGCAGTGCAGTCTAGGCTCCCCTGAGACCTCATGGTTCCTTTCAATGCACTGATTTTTGTTCCCGACAGGTGACATAGCAGGTATTTCCTATCAATCACAAGAGGAACCCTGCAGAGAGTTTCTTTTCATAGTTCAGAGATCAAGAGAATATGCAAAACCTGAAATGATCTTACTTCTCTCTTCTTGTGACTATGCCCCTCCCCTCCCCCACCACACCCACACTGATCCAGACACCCAGCCCCACTATCTAGCTCCTCTCAGGGGACTTCTCCCGCTTTTAGGAGAAAGTGGCTAGGGAGCTAGAATGGTTAACCTATTTTTGGATTGTGCTTCACAGTTTTCAAGGTGTTTTTTTACACTTTCTCTCATAAAAACCCAATAAAGTAGGCAAGGAAGAACCTTCTACATTTTATCAAAGCACCTTGGGTTTTGCAAGGTTCAGCGGATTGACCTGAGGTCATAAAGCTAATGAAGCATTCATGCTGGCCCTAGAACACAGGTGTATTAGTACATTTTCTGTTGCTTATAACACAATATCTGCAACTGGGTAATTTTTAAATAAACAGAATTTATTTCTCATAGTTTTGGAGGCCGGGAAGTCCAAGGTCCAGTAGGGACATCTGACTTCCTGGAAAGGAAGAGAGGCTGGGCTCGACCTGGAGGCAGATTTGACTGGGGCTGGGGGTGTGAACAGGTTGCTGTCTGTTTTCCCTTCAAAACCTCCCCCTTGCTTTTTGTCCCTGACCCTTGCTCTCTCCTACTGTTTCATCGATGCTTTCTTTCCTCTCCCTAGATGTCCATCCACCTTCAGGAGAACAGCTCCCAGACCCATGTATTGATGATGAAAGGTGCTCCTGAGCGGATCCTGGAGTTTTGCTCTACTTTCCTTCTGAATGGGCAGGAGTACCCAATGGACGATGAAATGAAGGAAGCCTTCCAAAATGCCTACTTAAAGATGGGAGGGCTGGGGGAACGTGTGCTAGGTGAGGAGCTGTGGGAAAAGTCTTTGAAAGAATCACATCAAAATGGTTATTATTCACAGGGTAAAAATCTAGGATGTTGGGGTCAGTTGGATAGAAACATAGAGCTGAATGACTCCTGGACCCTTCTGTCTCCCTTCAGGGTTCTGCTTCTTGAATCTGCCTAGCAGCTATTCCAAGGGATTCCACTTTAATACAGATGAAATAAATTTTCCTATGGATAATCTTTGTTTTGTGGGCCTCATATCCATGATTGACCCTCCCCGAGCCGCAGTGCCTGATGCTATGAGCAAGTGTCGCAGTGCGGGGATTAAGGTAAATACCTGCCCACCCCAGAAACCCGCCACCTGTCACAAGTTGGAACAGCTAGTAGAAAGCTTTGCACAGAGTAGGTGCTTAATAATCTTGGTTTGATTGAATTGATTTCTGCTTCCTTAAGCTTATGGTTTTTAGTCTTAAAAGAAACCTAATAGTGTTTCCTCTCTAGTTAAGTCCTATCTTGTACTGAACATTAGAATCACCAGGGGAGCTTTAAAAATCTCATATCTAGGGCCGGCCCGGTGGCGCACTGCTACAGTATGCCGCTTGAGAGCGCGGCGGCGCTCCCACCAAGGGTTCGGATCCCACATACAGACCGGTTCCCACTCACTGGCTGAGCGGGGTGCGGGTGCGGCGCTGAGGGTTGCTATCCCATTGCCAGTCCCGGTCCGGTACGGGCGCGACACTGAGGGTTGCGATCCGTTGCCAGACACGAAAAAAGAAAAAAAAAGAAAAAAAAGAAAAATAAAAATCTCATATCTAGGCTACACCCCAGACCAATTAAATCAGAAGCTCTCAGAAGGGGACCCAAGTGTCTGTATTTTTAAAAACTTTGCTGGAGATTTCAATGAGCAGAAGAATTTGAGAACCAGTGTGCACCACAGTGCTTCTCAAACTAATGTGCTTGTGCATCACTTGGAGATTTTTTTTTGAAATGTAGATCCTGATTCAGTAGGTCTAGGGCACCCAGAGATCCTGCATTTTTACCCAGCTCCCAAGTGATGCTGTTGCTGCTGGTCTGCAGACCACATCAGGAGAAGCAAAGTGCTAGATGCAATGTAAATGTGCTGCTGGGATGGGCCATAAAATGTTGAGGCTAAGAGGGCTGGGGTCTGGACCACGCAATAGTGAGAAAGAGATATTAAGAGCTGGAGGGTGCAGGCTGGGGGGAAGCTCAATAGGTCTGACTCGGGGTGAGCAGCTCACCTAACAGGTAGGTGTTTAGGAGTAAAAGCTAGAAACCAAAGTGAATTGGATCAAGAGCGAAACTCAGCTGCAAAACAGAAGTAGGAAGTCCTCTTTGTCAGGGTGGGCCTTGGACTTCATGGGGTGGCAGCAGTAGAATTCCACTAATTCTGAGATGCTCTGTACTCACGTTTCCCGGATCAAATTCTAAGACTCATATATATTTCCACAGTCTAGATATTGACACCTTCTCTGCTCATACCTTATATTCTGGATCATCTGCATATTCTGGCTCCTAGAGTTGAGGAAGTACAGGTAGAGTAGAGGGAGATTGGAAGTACTGAAGGGAACTGGATGGTCTCTGTTGGAGCTGGCTTTGTGTTAGACCTGTGACTGTTGGCAGTTTGTCTGGGAGTGGGCCTGGGCCATGCTGAGTTTAATGATTGATCACTAGAGTGGGAACCAAGGAATGGAAGTAGGAAATTATTGTGAGTGAATTCCCTGTTCACTACACTACCAAATGTTTGAGGTGGTACAGTCCTTTGCAGAGATAGCATTATTTTAGCACATCTGCATAGGATAACCAAGTTATCTTGATAGTCCTCACAGTTCTATAAAGTACTATATCATATTGTAGGAGAAGGGGCTCATTTGAATTTTCTGAGCTTTGAGGAGGGCTATAAGAATGAGGAATAACATGTGGGTGTAGTCTAAAATTTATCTCATCTAGGAGTTTATGGACCCCTTTAGCAAGAAGAGGGTCACAATCATGCTGACTGGTGGGAAGATCCCCACAGGAGACACAGGGTTGATTCTAGTCAGCATGCTGCCCAGATGAGGATATTGTCACAGCCTGAGGCAGGGTCAGCCCACAGTGGTCTGCAGATGACTCTCAGGGCTGGCCGTGAGCTGAGAACTGAAGCAGGAGGCTCAATGCTTCCTGGCCAGTCCTTGTTCTGGGCACAAGTTTACGGGTCTCCCTATAATTTCTTATCTCCTTCTGGACCCTAAACTGACAGGAATTTGGCAGATTTGGTGAGGAATTGTGAGTCATCCCCTCTTCCCTCTAGGGAACGCATATATATATATATATATGGTGCTATCCTTCCAGGAGGACTACAGATAGTGGACACAGCTTTTCCCATAGGGTAGGTCCTTCCAAGGCCAACTCTGCAATGGTGTTGATGCAGAGCTGATGAATGTTACAAGGCTGCTGAATAAAAGTGGTTGGGTAATGATTGCATGGCAGCAAAGTTTTTACAAGGAAATGATCTGGGGACTGGGATTTCCCAGGTAGCCAAGTGGTCAGGACTTTGGGATAAATGTGATTTTAAAAATTAAAAATGTATCCCATTATATTTGTCACTAACTGAAGATCTCAGCAGTGTGAAGATACTTGGCCCTTGCTATGAACCTGGCCCCCTCTAAGAACTGCAGCCTGGCTTTGAATGCTGTTGTGAGAGCCTGCAGTTTTGTTACCAGCACTGTAAAGTTTCTCTCAGATAGGTCTGATCTGGGGAAGAGGCTAGAAGGGAAACAGAAGGCAGCTTGCAAGACTGCGTGGGAAAATCAGAGGTGTAGTCAGCACCAAGAAGTTGGAAATGAAATTCTTTTAGTACTGGATGAATTTCAGAAACTGCTAGATGCCCTGTACCTCAAAGGGAGCCATTCTCTGTAGAACTGCGCTTCTGCTGTATGTATGCATCTCAGTGCTGGGTGAAATTGTGTCCTAGGAACTCACTCTTGTGGTGATTGCCTTTGTATTTTCACTTCTCAGTATGCAGATGGTACTGCTGGAAGCTACTCTAGAATAGCCCATTTGAACAGTCGAACTGAGCTAGGTACTAGGAATGTATGAGGATGATCCACACCTTGTTCAGCAGGTCCTATCTTGTGGTGATTGCCTTTGTATTTTCACTTCTCAGTATGCAGATGGTACTGCTGGAAGCTACTCTAGAATAGCCCATTTGAATGGTCGAACTGAGCTAGGTACTAGGAATGTATGAGGATGATCCACACCTTGTTCAGCAGGTCCTAGACCACTACTGATGGACCACTGGGGAGCTTTCAGGGCACTGTAAACCTGAAAGGCATCACTGAGAACTCAGTCTGAACTGCATCTGGAAGACAATCTTCTATGCAGTTTCCTCCCAGATCCTCACCAGCTACCAAGTGCCCCACAAGCCACACTTGTCAGGATCCAGTGCCCCACAGCTCAGCCAGGATACTTGAAGTCAGTGGTTGTAGGTCACAGCCCCGTGCAGTTTTACTGAGTGTCTGCTCATACTGCTCAGTTAGCACTTGGCTGTCTTTTCAGGAAGTCAGGGGTGCCAGTGTGGAATGCTGAGGGCACATGAAGCCCCATAGTTGAATCTTTGGGGAAAACTTCTTCAAGTCTCATTTCCATGCTTTGAAAGTAATAGACTGACCTCTCCAGTACTTCTTGTCCTGAAAGCAGTTGGTTAATTTAGTCACATTCAGATAGTTTCCTTCTCTCTCCCATCAGAGCTTGAAAAATTGTGTGCTTGGAAGGCACCTGAGAACCTAGGGCAGTGTTTCCCAGGTTGTGATCATTCCTTCATTTGATAACTATTTGTTGTTGGCTTATTATGTACCAGGCATTATGCTAGGGCAGGAAATGTAACAAGGAATCCACCCTCGCAGAGCTCTCAGTCCAGTGGGGGAGAGAGACAAGCAAGCATTCGCCACACAGAGAAGTGCTGAGATGTGGAGAGAACAGAATACTTTGAAAGCATAGAGCATGGGGCCCTAATCTTCAGGTAGGAATGGAACAGCACTAGGTACAAGGTATCCAAAAACGAGTTGAAACAGAGAGGCAGGGTGAGGCAGTTGGGAGAAGAGAGGTACAGTGAGGATCTGAATGCACTGGGCTAGGCAGATGGATTATTCCAAACGTTCCTTTATTACCACTTGCTCTATGTAGGTGTTTCTGTATTTGCACTTAAGAAAGCAGAATAGCTTCTGGAGCAATTAAATGAAATTCTGAATATAGTAACACACCCAAATCTCTGACTTATTCCTTGGAAATCTAGAACACAAATTGCCTGTTTTATGACCTCATGGTCCTGACCCACTCCTAAGGGTTGAAGCCACAGTAACAAAGTTTTTGGTCTATACTACAAGTTCTTGGCAATGAGCCACTGGAACCCTTGCTGAAGGAAGGCAGTGATCTGTTAGTTCTTAGGGGAGAAAGACTTAGGATCCAGGGACCCTCTGAAGATGATGCAGCTCCTCTTCCATCTCCTCTCCAACCCAGGTGATCATGATAACAGGCGATCATCCCATTACAGCCAAGGCCATTGCCAAAGGTGTGGGCATCATCTCAGAAGGCACTGAGACAGCAGATGACATTGCTGCCCGGCTTAAGATCTCTGTCAGCCAGGTCGATGCCAGGTGAGACCTCCAAGACCTCAGGTCTGCCACTTTACCTTTCTCCTCAACCTGCCCTACCCAGATCCCACTCACTGAAGTTCTTGGAGTCTCCTTCAGTAGAGAAGGTATGCAGGAATAACATATTATAAAGTAAAACATAATAAGAAAATAATTAAGTGAATATGTCAGTGGGTTTTAGAGGCAGCGGGACAAAGAAAAGGGAGATGTGGCTGGCACAAGGGGGAAGGGAATGGACTGTGTCAATTTGGGGACAGTGTATGGCTAGGGACAAGAGAGGAAACCAGGAGGTTATAGTGAAGTTTGGTTGAAGGGCACCAGGACCTCTAGGGAACTTGAACTATCCTTTTGAAATTCTTTTCCCTCAGCACTGTCAAAGCCATTGTGGTGCATGGCTCAGAACTAAAGGATATGAACTCACAGCAGCTTGAGCAGATCCTCCAGAACCACACAGAGATCGTGTTTGCTCGGACCTCCCCCCAGCAGAAGCTCATCATTGTAGAGGGGTGTCAGAGGCTGGTAAGGAGGCACAGGAGCCCTGGGGAACCTGGAAAAACTCAGCCCCACACCAAGCAGAGAGGCACATGGGCTGTGCGAGATGAACTTCCATGGTGGCCTTCAGTCTGGGGCTCCCTGAGAGTTTAAATATCTTAGGGGGAGCAGGAGAAGGAAAGGTCAAGAGTCCTAGACCAAGCATAATCACCTCAAGAAACAAGGGAGGCTGAAATCAAACTGATCTTTAGGACTGGTCCCAAATCTGACACAGTAATTATTTCACTCAGTATTTATTTCACTCCCCCTGTCTGGACTTCGCCAGGGAGCTATTGTGGCAGTGACGGGTGACGGGGTGAACGACTCTCCTGCACTGAAGAAGGCCGACATCGGCATTGCCATGGGCATCGCTGGCTCTGACGTTTCCAAGCAGGCAGCTGACATGATCCTTCTGGATGACAACTTTGCCTCTATTGTCACAGGCGTGGAGGAGGGTGAGGAGGCAGGGTGCCCAGGTTGGAACCTAACCCTCAGACTCTGGTGGGGGTTGGTGTACTTTACCCTCATTCCCTTTGCCCATGAGTCAACCTCCATGATCCTGCACAGACTGGGAAAAGTCACTGTAAGACAAAATTCTGCAAATTAGATTCAACCGGTAATTAGAACATCACTATCTGGGAATTTTTTTTTTTTGGTGGCTGGCTGATATGGGAATCCAAACCCTTGACCTTGGTGTTATCAACACTGCACTCTAACCAACTGAGCTAACCAGCCTGCCTTTTTTTTTTTTTTTTTTTTTTTTT